CCTGCCCCTCCCCTCGGGCAGCCCAGGCCCTGGTGCCCCTTGGCAGGGTGGGGGCAGGCCCTGGGTGATCCGTTCCACTTTGTTCCACATTTCCTCTCCACTCTTCCTGCCGAGAGCCTGCCCCTTTGCCCTGTCCTGGGAACATATTTAAGAGAGAGAACTATATTGGTATTAAAGCTGGTTTGATTTATTCCATTGGTCCCTTTGGGTCAGGGGCAGGGGGCACTGCGCCCTACTGCCTCATTTCCCTCCTCTCTCCTTCCCTCCAGCATATCTTTCTGTGGCACCAGGTGCTGCGGATGCACCATGGAAGGGCAGGCCACCAGTGTCGTGGTGGCTCCCTCATGGGGGTACCAGGCAGCAGTGCTGGGGAGGCCAGTGGCCCCATAAGGCGTCTTGCAGCGCTGTGTCTTCCTGGGCTCCCCTCTCAGGATAAGCCCTCAGCTTTGCAGTACTGCCAAGGAGTCATGTAGATGGGAGGTCCCTGAACAAAGGGACTCTCATCCAGGCAGCTCCGCCCCATATAGGATCTCATCAGGCAACCAGGGCCCAGGAGGGGCCAGCCAAGAACTGCTCCACCCAGCCCCAGAGAGGCCTCTGGAAACAGCCTGCCATGACCTGTATCCCCCACCCAGGCCTGGGGCTGCCTCCCTGCCTCCCACCTGCTGCCTAGGTATCAGTGTGCTCGATCAGGCCAGGCCTACTAAATGTGGGCCCCATCACCAGGCTAGGCTCTGGGAAGATTAGCCTGTGTCCATTTAACATGTATTCCCAGAGGGCCTCAGAGGGGTCACTACCAAGATGTGCACTAGCCCCCAGTGAGGGGAGCTGTCCTCCTTGCTTTAGCCTGCATCTTGAGGGCACATACGTTCACCCATGGCTGATCTTGTGCTTTGCATTGTCGTTCTCCCACATTTCTCTCTTAGAGAGCTCCCTACCCCAGGGAGCCTCCTCGTGCCCCAGACATTGACCAGGCTGCTCTTGACCAGGGCCTCTGGGCAGGTGAGGCCAAGGGGGCAGGATGGCAGCTGGCCTTGAAGGAGGGGTGGGGTGCACAGGCAGGACCAGGGCTGCAGAGGGCTGGAAGGCTCTGGGTATGGGCAAAGAGCTTGAGCAAAGGCCCAAGGGCCAGGCCTTGAGTCTGGCCCAATCTCCCTTCTGCTAGTCAAGGCAAGTGTTTGAATAAGAACTTCTCTATACCTGGTGGGCCACTGGGAAATATTTGACAAGGAAATGAAAAGATGAGTGGGTGAGTGGTGGGTAGATGGCTTATGTGAAGCACCAGCAGCATCCCAGGCCCAAGGGCCCCAGGCAATTCTATGGTTGTCATATTGTCCCCTTGTCCACACTCCAGCAGAGCCCCAGCTGCTCTGACTACTAGTGCCCGGGTTTCTCAGCTGAAATGGGGGCGAGGCCAGGGGAAGAGACGTAGCCCGTGCACCGGCTCAAAAGAAGGGTGAGAGGGACCTTCCAAGTTCTGAAGGTGTGTCTGCCCCGCCTGGAGAGCATTTGATAGGCCTAATGGTGGGGGGACAGGGATGATTCGCAAGTTTCAATTTTTCAGATTTCTTGATAGAAGTGGGAGGTGAGCTCCCTCAGCAGAGGCTCTGATCCCAGGTACGCAGGGAAGACTGATCTGCCCACAGAGCACCAAGCAGCAGACAGCAC